GGAGGAGGAGGAGAAGAATGAGAAGGGGGAGGAGAGGAGGAGGAAAAGGAGGAGGAGGAGGAGGAGGAGGAGGAGGAGGAGGATAATGAGAAGGGGGAGGAGGAGAGGAGGAGGAGGAGGAGGAGGAGGAGGAGGAGGAGGAGGAGGAGGAGCAGGAGGAGGAGGAGGAGCAGGAAGAGGAGGAAGAGGAGGATCGCTGTAATCCATGTCTGCACGCCCCCGAATGGTGGTCGTCGCGGCGCCCGCAGCGCAGCAGCGCGGCCGAGCCAGGCCCAGCGACGATGCGGAGAGGCCGCGCCCTGGCTCTCTACAGGAGGAGTATTCAAACATAGTGTCAAACATAGTCTGGGAACATGTTTTTTTGCGTTTGCGTATTTTGTGGTATGTTTTAAATGTTTTGTCCACCATCCGCCTGTCGGAGGACATGCCCGACCTTACTCTCAAGCGGACACGCGCCCCACACAATCACACGTCTGCCCGCCGCGCCCCCCAGGCGGAGGGCCGCATCGACGAGACGCTCCTCCCGCGCGCCCCGTTCGTGGTCTGAGCGGCCGATATCATTTTTGTGCACGTGTCAGGCCCATGCGCGATTGCATGCCGCAGGCCCTTCTCCTGCCATGTTCGCCCTCCGCTCGCGTTACAGAGGCGAGCGATCAGACTTGGTGGAGATCCGCCAAAGTGCGCGGTGAGAAGAAACAAGACCTTCGTTGCGCCAGGTCGGTCAAGCAATGTCCCAAATTTGTTAGTCAGTCATTGTCTTCATGCATGAGCTGATGCTGCCAGCGTTTCATATGCTACGCCTCCTGGGTGCCACTAAGAGCAATGCCAGATCTATGCAGGCATTCATGCATTTGCTGTGTTTGACCGGGCCACGACTTACACATGTATCTCGCGAGTGAGGCATTCGCGCAAGAGCTTATTAATTGGTAGGCTAGAAGATGGGAAACGGATACGCGGCGTGCGACGCGATTGCCATCGGAGTCTTACGGTGCAGAGTCAGGTGGGTCATCTGTTTGCCCTGACACTCCTTCGTCCACTGCTGTGTCCTCGCGTCAGTCCAACATTATGATGGTGCTACTGTGTGGCTTTGATTTCATCTGTGCGTCTACCTTGACATTCTCCACATCAGGGCCATGCCAGGCGATAGGCGATGTGTGATGCTTTGTGGGAGTGGCCGCCCACGTCAGTCACCTGGTCAAGATAGGTTACTCCAGATTTCGTAATAAAGGGAGGGGGGTCTCATTTCGGGGGGGGGGTCTCTTCCAGGCTATCTTGGAGGGCCTGGGGGGGTCTGGGGACGATGCTTTGGAGGGTTCTCCCACGGGGGGGGGGGGTCTGAAATGGCTCGTCTTGGAGGGTCCAGACCCCCTCCCTTTTATTACGAAGTCTGGAGTACAGTATTTTAGCTGGCTGTTTGAATGATGCAACGCTCGCGGAAGACAGACGACTATAAACATAGGTCCGTCGGAGGTCCGCCCAGATGTCGTGCATCGACGCCGGACCCCACTGGCGGTGCCTCCAGCGCCGCTCCTGGCGCGCTCCACGCCCCTGGGAGGATTGCAAAACGAAGGATTGCAATCCAGGTTTTTTTTTGCAATCCAGGTGTTTTTTGTTTTTTTTGCAATCCTTCGTTTTTTTGCAATCCTTCGCTTCAGAACCGATCGAACAAATCAACGCCAACCTCCAAAAGTTTATGTCTATGTGCCGATGTGTCTTGTTCTGAGCACGCCATCGCAAACATACGACAGCACGTCAGTGCGAGTATTAGTGGACGAAGGAAATCATGTAATGACTCGTTCCGCCATCGGGGACGTTTGTCCCAGGGCGGCTGGAACATTGATGCCCAGACGTCCCCGATGGTGCAGTCGTTTGTATGATTATGCCTCCGTCCTTTGTCCGCGAAGAGTACGCGTTGGCAGCCTCGTCGGAGCGAGGGGTGTCAGCCAGGGTAGATCCTCGTAGTTCAGCGAGCGAAGAACGGTATAAGATAAACTGTTTCGCTGTCGGGAGCGCCTGTCCCTGGGCGGCTGGAAAGTTTATACCCCTACGGCGCCACCATAAGGGTATAAACTTTCCAGCCGCCCAGGGACAGGCGCTCCCGACAGCGAAAAAGTTTATTTTATACCGTTCTTCGCCCGTTAAGTAGTGCCGCGCGCCTGCCCGTCGGCACCCCTGGCGGGCAGCGACCCCCGTGCGGCCAGCGCGCTGTGCCGCCACGATGTGCCAGAGGAGGGAGAGCAGGACGAAGACTGGCGGCGAAACCCGAGCCCTACGGTAGGTTCGCGTCGTGTCGACCGGCGGCGGCCCCGCCGCCGACGTTCAATGTTGAACGCCGACGGCGGCCCAGAATCGGTCGATGTTGAACGATTGGACGTTGCGGAGACGGCCGATCGTTCAAGGTTGAACGATCCAGCGCGGTGTCAGGAACCAACGCCAGGGTCGACACGGCACGAACCTGCAGTACCCTCGCCGATCAACGGTTCAGGCAGCTCGATGGGCGGCGGGGGTAGGCTTCGGAATGTTGTCGAACGCGCGGTGAAGTCCGAGCCCGATGCCCGGCTCCCATCGACTCGTGAGAGTCGACGGCTGGTGGGGGTTGGGTTCGGATGCCGTCACCCAGAAGAGGAGCATGGGGCAGGGCTGGACCTTAACGCTGTTTAGCTGGACTTTGGCTGTGTTTTGTGTTCCCTTTTGGCAGGGAGGTACATGAAAGCAGGTGGACCAAACCGAACAGCAAAACGAGCACAAAACGAAAACAACGTTTAGGTCCAGCCCTGGCATGGGGTTCTCGCTGGCTCTTGGAGGGGCGTCGGAGAGGGGGCGTGCTCAAGGGAGAACAAACATCCACCCCGACCCCGACAACTGGCGCGCACTTCACGGCCCTGGGCGTTTGCGGAACAGCCATGCCCTTTTCGATTCCTCCCTTGGGCGCGGTCGCCGAACGGCTTCGCTCGTCGGGTTCGTTCTGATTGGGGTGGAGTTTCTGCTTTCTACCGGAGGGGCGTCGAAGGAGGGTGTGCGAGGACGCTTTCGGCCGCTCTTCCTCGCCTCCGGGATGCCCTCCAGAAGCTGCGCCCTTGTCGAGAGTGTTTTCTGGGGGGGGGGGGCTGCCGTCGAGGACCATCGAGGAGCATCCTGGGTCATCCTGCGACACACATGGGCGCACGAAGCCGAAACATGCACGAGGAGTGGACGTCCGAGGAGGGAGGAGGGAGGAGGGAGGAGGGAGGGAGGAGGGAGGGAGGGAGGGAGGGGAGGGAGGGAGGGAGGGAGGCAGGAGGGGGAGGGAGGGAGGAAGGAGGAGGAGGAGGAGGAGGAGGAGGAGGGGGAGGGGGAGGAGGGGGAGGAGGAGGAGGAGGAGGAGGAGGAGGAGGAGGAGGAGGAGGAGGAGGAGGAGATACTCTCCAGAACCTGCGCCCCTGTCGAGAGCTTTCCGGTGTGTGCGTGCGTGGTTGCCTTGGACGCCGCCTCTCCCGAGGGGCCGCCCGCCTCTCCCGGGGGGCCGCCCGGCCTTAGGAGGACGGAGGACGACAGAGAGGGGGGACTTCCTCCTCCTCCTCCTCCTCCTCCTCCTCCTCCTCCTCCTCCACTCCTCCTCCCTCCTCAGGGGGGTACTCCTCCTCCTCCTCAATCCTCCTCCTCATCCTCCTCCTCCTCCTCCTCCTCCCTCCTCCTCCTCCCCTACCCTCTCCCCCCGCTCCTCCTCCTCATCCTCCTCCTCCTCTCCTCCTCCTCCTCTCTCGAGGGGGTACTCCAGATTTCGTAATAAAGGGAGGGGGGTCTCATTTCGGGGGGGGGTCTCTTCCAGGCTGTCTTGGAGGGCCTGGGGGGGTCTGGGGACGATGTTTTGGAGGGTTCTCCCACGGGGGAGGTCTGAAATGGCTTGTCTTGGAGGGTCCAGACTCCCTCCCTTTTATTACGAAATCTGGAGTACCCTCGCCATGCCGTATTTAGCGTCGGTTAGCGTTGGGGAATTGATGGAATAGCGCCGACTTAGCGTCGATTAGCTTCGGTTAGCGTCGATTCAACATCGAATTTGCGTCGACTAGCGCCGATTCGTGAGAGCCACGGAGATGCATGGGAGGCTCCCATGAGTTGCCGCCCAAGGGGGGAGGAGCGGTGGAGGGTCGAATCTTCAGCCGCTTGCTCCGGTCCGCACCGCCAGAGTTCACTGACTCGGCGTTTGCATCGCGCCTTTTCGCTGGACACTCGCGTGTGCCAGTGAGTTTATGCGTGACGGCTCGTGTCGAGCAGGTTCTGTTTCAGACTTTGCCACCTTGGGATAGTGTGCGATGCGAGCGCTCGGTGCAAGATGCCGTCGGCACCCAGAAGGTAATAACAAACCATGTTAGGGCGTATCTGGCAGGAGGGGAGGAAGGCGGGGGCAAGTCAACGATAATTAGTTTGTCATATTTTGGCTCGTCCAGCTTGTCTTCGGCGTATGTTACCCCATTCCATACGTAGCTGGACGCGGTAGACATGGCAGGCGAGCTTCGCAGATTTGCAGGAGTGGTTGTCGATCGCATGGCATTGCTATGAATTCAAGGTGATTGTTTTGGTGCGGGCTCGTCTAGCCAGATGCATATCAGTTCCATTTCCGCTTGCTCTCGACCTGTTCTACTCCTTTGCCCCGGAGGGCAACCTTCGCACGTTTGGTCCGACACATCCATCTCTCGTTTTGCTTCGCAGATCAGGCCATTGTCGTCATGGCATGCATGCGGCCACGCGCATCCCTCTCTATCTCTCGTACTCCCTCTCTCTCTCTCTCTTTCTCACTCTCCCCTCCTCTCTCTGTCTTGCTCTCTTTCTCTCTCTATATATATCTATGTGTGTATATATATATATATATATATATATAGAGGCATGCAGACTCCACCCATCCATTCCTCACTCCACCCCTCCCGTCCTGCCTTCCTCCCCCCCCAATACTATTCCTTCTCCCCCCCCCTGCCTCTCTGCCGCTCTCTGGCCCTCGTCGTCCCAGCCGGCCCCAGCATGCCCCCCGTCGCAGCGCGATCCCTCGCTCCGCCCGAACAGTGCCGTCTCGTTCCCAGACGTCGGGCACTCCGATGCTCTCGCTGCACTGGCCCCTGGACCTCTCGACCCCCTCCCCAGGGCCCGTTTGTCGTCCCGAGCTTTTCTTGGCAGCCCCCAGACTCGAAACAGGGCGTCCGGAGGCCAGACTTGGCGACAGGCTGGCCGCCTATGATGTCTTATGGAAGCGAACTCCAGGGGAGGCTTGCCCAAGGTGGGGTTGATTCCCGCCAGGTTGTCGAAGGGTCTGTCCTGGGCAGGCCGTCCTTTCGTCATGGAGCAGCGTGGGTGGTCCGGGCTGTCCGGGGGGTTGTCTGGGGAGTCTTTTTGGATTGGATTCTTTTTCCATCGAGCATTGTAGGTAGTTTCGCGGCACCGGATGTCTCATCCTTAGAGGAACGAGACATGACGTAAACATAAAAACTCGCATGTCCGCGCGGATTTCTTGGATCCGTGCTGGACCCCTCTCCCTGGCGCGCGCAGCGCGCTGGGGGCGGCGCCGGAGGCGCCGCCAGGGGGGTCGAGCGCCAATCCGAGAAATCCGCGCGGACCTGCGAGTTTTTATGTCTACGTCATTGTCCGTTCCCCCGGCTCTTGAGACCCGCAGGGGCCCCATAGCCCTCCTCATCCTCCTCCTCCTCCTCCGCCGCCTTTCCCTCCTCCTCCTCCTCCTCCTCCTCCTCTCCTCTCCTCCTCCTCCTCCTCCTCCTCCTCCTCCTCCTCCTCCTCCTCCTCCTCCTCCTCCTCCTCCTCCTCCCCCTCCCCCTCCCCCTCGCCCCATAGCCCCTGTCAGCCGGCACCGGATGTCTGGGTTCGGGCCTTCCCTGGCCGGCTCCAGTCGTGCCGCCCTGCCGAGGCCGTCACGCGCTGGTGGCCGCCAGCCTCCTAGGCGCGGGCGCCAGCACCGCCCCCGGTCTGTCTCCTCGAGGGCGGCCAGAGGAGGAGGAGGAGGAGGAGGAGGAGGAGGAGGAGGAGGAGGAGGAGGAGGAGGAGGAGGAGGAGAAGAGGAGGAGGAGGAGGAGAGGAGGGAGGAGGAGGAGGAGGAGGAGGAGGAGGAGGAGGAGGAGGAGGAGGAGGAGGAGGAGGAGGAGGAGGAAGGGAAGCAGCTGGGATGCTGATGATGATGATGATGATGATGATGATGATGATGATGATGCTGATGATGATGATGATGATGCTGATGATGATGCTGCTGATGCTGATGCTGATGCTGATGCTGATGCTGATGCTGATGGTGATGGTGATGGTGATGGTGATGGTGATGTTGATGATCATGATGATGGATATGGTGATGGTGATGGTGATGGCGAGTATGAGGATGAGGTTGAGGATGAGGATGATGATGAGGATGATGATGATGATGGTTATGATGATGATGATGATGATGGTGGTGGTGGTGCTTCTGATGGGTTTGGTGGTGATAATGATGATGATGATGATGATGATGATGATGATGATGGTGGTTGTGATGATGATGATGATGATGATGATGATGATGATGATGATGATGATGATGATGATGATGCTGATTACGATTATGACGATGATGATGATGATGATAATAATGATTATGGTGATGGTGATGGTGATGGTGATGTTGATGATCATGATGATGATGGATATGGTGATGGTGATGGTGATGGTGAGTATGAGGATTAGGTTGAGGATGAGGATGATGATGAGGATGATGATGATGCTGTTTATGATGATGATGATGATGATGATGATGATGATGATGATGATGATGATGGTGGTGGTGGTGGTGGTGGTTCTGATGGGTTTGGTGGTGATAATGATGATGATGGTGGTTGTGATGATGATGATGCTGCTGATTACGATTATGACGATGATGATGATGCTGATGATGCTGGATGGTTATGATGCTGATGATGATACTGATGATTGTGATGATGCTGATGACGATGTTGGTGATCATGGTGATGATGATGATGATGATGATGATGATGATGAGGAGGAGGAGGAGGAGGAGGAGGAGGAGGAGGAGGAGGAGCGTTGTTCGCTCAGAACTCTTAGTGAGGTTCCTCCTTGGGACGAGTTTCAGGTCAGCAGCTCGTTCCCTCCGATGCTACGTCTCTGCGCAGACATGTGTGGCAGCGCGGACCCGAAACAGTGAGATGTTGCACTGTGGATGTGTCAACTACGTAGTTTTATATATGAGGGCTTAGTTGTGTGGTGTGAGTTGTGAGGTGTAAGAATTTTTGTCACAATGCCACCGTGACGGGGCCGAACGGTCTTTCAATGTCCTTACGGTGCGGATGTTTGTGATTGTTGTTGTTGATGTTGTTGTTGTTTGTGGTGGTGGTGGTGGTGGTGGCGTTGTTGTTGCTGTTGTTGAGAACGACGGGTTTCAGACACCCCCCTGGGGGAGGGGGGGGGCGCTGCACCTACGAGACCCTGGCATTCCTGGATTCTTGGGGATCCGTCTGCATTCCGGGAGAATCCTGGGCATTCCAAGGGATTCTTACAGATGTGAGTGGAGTGTTTTGAGTTTCTAGAAATTCCTGAGGATCCCTCAGGACCCTTTCAGGAGTCCAACTGATTTCTGAAGGAGTCCTCTGGGAACCTGTGGATTCCTGCGGATTCCATCGGATTTCTGTGAATTCCCAGCGAATTCGGATTCCTGTGGATTTCTTTGGGTTCAAGAGGAGTCTTTCCGAGTCTTCGGGGTTTCAGAGAATCCCGACGAAGCCCGAAGGATCGCTCAGGATTCAGAGGGATTCCAACGGATCCGTGGGGACTCCCCAATCCCCTAGTGAGTCGTGCTTTCGTTCGAAGCTTTCTCGCGATTTGCCCAGGATTTGCGTTCATGCTTTCAAATTATTTACCATTTACTCGCTCACGCCTAAACTTGTCGCTCAAGCCTTCCACACATTTTACTCAGGAATGGAGCTCTCGCTCGAGAGTTCGTCGCAATATACTCAAGAATTCAGCTGCATTTCGCTCTCTCTCTCTCTCTCTTTCTCTCTCTCCTAATGCTTCCTCGCTTGAGACGGTGGTGATGGTGGTGCCCTTTGTGATGTTGATTCGTGTTGTTGCTGATGCTGGGGTTGAAGATGGTGGGAGCACGCTACTGATGCTAACCATGATGATGCTGATTATGCTGATGATGATGGTGGTCACGATTCTCATAACGACGATGGTGATGGTGATGCTGATGATGATGGCGATTTTGAGGATTATGATGATGATGATGATGATTATGATCGTGCTGATGATGCTGCTGTTGATTTTGATGATGATGCTGCTGATGATGCTGGTGTTGATGTTTGATGCTGATGGTGATGGTGGTGATGCTAGTGGTGAAGCTGTGAATGATGTTGGTATCGATTACGATGATGATGATGGTGCATGTGTTGCTGATGCTGACGACGATTATGGTTGTGCTGGCGACGTTGGTGATGATGTTGTTGCTGATGCGGATGGCGAATGTCATGGTGATACTTCGTCTATGGTGATGACGGTGGTGATGGCGATGGCGGCGATCAGGGTGTTGATTCCAGTGGCACTGGTAGGTATGGTGACGATGATGGCAACGACGATGGTGATGTTGATGCCAATAACGGTGGCGATGAGAAAGACCGTGATGATGATGTTGTCGTTGATGATGATGCTGGTGATTATGAGAATGACGATGCCGACGATGATGCGGTTGCTGCTGCTGGTGATGCTATGCTGATGGTGATGACAGGGGTGGTGGTGGCGAGGATGCTGAAAACTGTGGTGGTGACTATTTTGAGAATGATGGTGGTGATGATGATGGCGATGATTGATCTTAGGCTTACGCCACACCGCCGACCCCTTTGTTTTTCTTGGGGGCTTCCTGGGGGTCCCTGGGGCACGTTGGGGGCGTCTGGGAGCCGAAGGTTCGAAGTGTCCGTCCCGGTTTGGGAGCCTATGGGGCCGTCTTAGGGCGATCTTGGAGGCATCTTGGAGGGTCTTCCGCGCTGTGAAGGCCGAACCACTGTATATCGAAGCCGATTGGGGGGCCTCTTGGGGCCCCTTGGGGCCTCTTGGAGGCCTCTGGGGAGCCTCTTGGGGCCTCTTGGGGGCTTTTTGGGGGCGTCTGGATGCCTTTTTGGAGCCTCTTGTGGCCGCCTGGGAGCCTCTAGGGGCGGACGGCTGGAACGTTCGTTTCGTGGTCCCCCTTTCGGGCCCCTCTTGGGGTTGTCTTGGAGCCCTTTTGGGTCGTTTTGGGCGCCTCTTGTGCGGTGTTGGGGGCTTCTTGGGAGCCTGAGAAGCCGTCTTAGGGCGGTCTTGGAGGCATTTTGGAAGGGCTTCCGCTTTGTGAAGGCGGGAAAATCGTATGTGCTAGAAATGTACGTTTTTCCCCAAGGTAATTCGACGATTTTGGCTTCTTGGAGGCCTCCTGGGATGCCTTTTGGAACGTCTTGGCGGCCTCTTGGGCCGTCTTCGGCCCATGTTTGGCGTCTTGGAACGATCTTTCGGCCCAAGTTAGGCGTCTTGGAACGATCTTTCGGCGTCTCGGGGCCCTCTTGGACCATCTTGGGGGCCTCTTGGGCGGCCCCAGAAGCTGTCGTGGACCTCCAACAGGAGCCGGGGAAGGGCTGGACCCCCCTGATGAGCTTTGGCCGGACGGCCCCCCCGTCCAAATCGACCGGACCGGGCTCCGGGGGGAGGGGTTTGGGGAGGGGGAAGCATCTAACACGCCGATGATCCCCAAGGGGTTGGCGGATTCTGACGATGAGTGGTATGATGATGATGATGATGATGATGATGATGATGATGATGATGATGATGATGATGATGATGATGATGATGATGATGGCGACGGCGACGACGATGATGCTGGTGATGTTGATGATGATGACGACGACGATGATGGCAATGATGCTGATGTTGCTGATGATGACGAGGATACTGCTGCTGCTGATGATGATGGTTATGCTGCTGATGATAATGAGGATGGTGCTGAGGATGGATGGTGATGATGATGGTGGTGATGACGATGGTGTGATGATGATGGCTGGGGATGGTGATGATGTGGATGGTGCTGCTGATGATGATGGCGCTGACGAGGATGGCGAGGATGACGACGACGGAGGGGGTGAGCGGGGAGGGCGGAGGGATGCAGGACGTACGCTCTGCGGGAGCGAGGGGCGATGGCTAGCCCAGGAGCGAGGGCCCTCGCAGTAAGGACTCTTGAGCAGTATTTCCGTAGTGAGGCCTTTTGGTACGGTGGCCTGAGCAGGATGTTTGAATGATGTTTCCGTAGTGAGGCTTCTGTATCAAGGTTTTCTTGGTAAGGACTCTCGAGCAAGAGTCTCGCAGTAAGGTGTTTCTTCATTCAGGTGCTCTGAGTACGAACCTTTGAGAGCAAGACTCCCGTAGCAAGGATTCTTTAGTAGGGTTATCCTGGTAAGGACTCTCCAGCAATAAGCCCGCAGTAAGGTTTCTGTATTATTATTATTATCTTAGGAAGGACCCTTATGCTTTTAGTAATGGCTCTTGAGTCAGAGTCCCGTAGTAGGGAGTTTGCACTCAGGTTCTATTGGTAAGGACTCTTGAGTCATGCTTCCGTAGTGAAACTTCTTAATTGAGGTTGCGTCTTCAGTTCGAGTCCCGTTGTAAGAATTTGTCACTTTTGAGTGAGACTCCCACAGTAAGGATTATGTGCTAGGGTTCTCTAAGTAAGGACTCTCGAGTATTATTCCCGTAGTAAGGTTTCTCCATGAAGTTTTATCTCAGTGAGGAGGCTTGAATCAGAGTCCCTTAGTCAGGTTTTTGACTAAGGTCTCCTAGTAAGGATAATGCAGTCGGGTTTTTGTTATAATCTCATAAGGATTTCCTGACTAAAATGCTTTTAGTCCGGATTATTGACTAAACAAGTTCTTTGGTAGGGATTTCTCA